CCCTGCAATTTAACAAGCATTTTAACTTAGGAATAATATTAGCTGTAGAAATAAATAAGCATGAGAACATCTATATTTAGCAGGCCAGTATGTGAGGGAACTTAGTGGTATGTATTTATATACCACAAGACCTATCTTTATCTTACAGATAAAGAAAAGAAAATTTTATAACTTAAAGTGGACAAGAAAAAGGGGAAGAGAAGTTTGCAGAACATTAGATAAGGTTACTTGTTTTGACACAGCATTGTTCTGTTAAGCATATTTTTAAGTAAGGTGGATCAGCTCTGAAGCAGCAGCCAAAAAGGTGAACATTGGTGCAAGTCTCTATCCTCAGCTTATCCCACATCCACCTTCTTTTTCCCCTCTTACCTTCAAACTCCTCCATGGAAATCCCTCTGTAATATTTAATAAGTGCTCAGGCATTAGGCTTGTCAGAAAAGACAGCAGCGCAATTTTATAAAGCTCATAAGCACCTAGCTAGAACTGAGCCCATTTGAGGCTCTGTAAACATGCAGTTCCCACAGGGTATGCTTGAAGGCTTAGCACAGACATTAGCACAATCATTCTTATACTGATAATTTGATACTTATCCTTATACCTCTCCTTAGCTTCTTTAGTTTCTTTCCAACATCACTTTAAGCTTTGTAACCAGGGCTGGAACAGGTTAACAGATTTTTAAATATATTTCAAAGACAATTAAAAGTGTGGGGGGGGGGGGTTCCTGTATGCATATGGGGGGTTTTCCTAGGGCCAAACTGTTACCATGATTCATTCCACAAGATTATCATACAGCTTCAGCCAAGCACCATTTGATTCATAGCTCTTTAAGCTCAAAAGAGACCACAGGGTTGTCTAATCTAACCTCTAGATTTCCACCCAGTTTCCCTTGCAATGACAAGTTTGGCTTAAGACTTGATACAACATTCAGATTCCTTAAGTCCCATTTAGGTACCTAGCTCAAACAGAGTTTAGTTAACCTACATAACAAAAAGTGATTCAGTATCAAGTGCAGTGCCCCATGGATCAGTCCTGGGGCTGGTTTTGTTAAATATCATCATCAATCACCTTGAAGATGGCATAGAATGAACCCTCAGCAAGTTTGCGGATGACACCAAGCTGCAGGGAGTAGTAGGGCTGCTGGAGGGTAGGGCTAGGATTCAGAGAGGCCTAGACATATTGGAGGATTGGGACAAAAGAAATTTCATGCAGTTCAACAAGAACAAGTGCAAAGTCCTGCACTTAAGAGGGAACAATCCCATGCACCAGTACAGGCTGGGGCTGACTAGCTGGGAAGCAGCTCTGCAGAAAAGGACCTGGGTGTTATAGTGGACAGTAAGCTGAATAAGAGCCAACAGTGTGCCCTTGTTGCAAAGCAGACTAATGGCATACTGGGCTGCATTGGTAGGTGTGTTGCCAGCAGGTCAAGGGAAGTGATTATTCCACTCTATTCAGCATTGGTAAGGCTACATCTGGAGTTCTGTCTTCAGTTTTGGGCCCCCCACTACAGAAAGGATGTGGATAAATTGTAGAGAGTCCAGATGAGGGCAAAAATGGTTAAGGGGCTGGGGCACTTATGAGGAAAGGCTGAGGGAACTGGGCTTATTTAGTTTAGAGAAGAAAAGACAAAGATGGGATTTAATAGCAGCCTTCAACAACCTGAAGGGGGATTCAAAAGAGGATGGACCTGGACTATTCTCAGTGGTGGCAGAAGACAAAATAAGGAACAACAGTCTCAAGTTGCAGCCAGGGAAGTTTAGGTTAGATATTAAGAAGAATTTTCTCACTAGGAGGGTAATAAAACACAGGAACAGGTTACCCAGAAAGGTGGTGGAAGCTCCATCCTTGAAGGGTTTTAAGACCCAGTTAGACAAAGCAGGGGCTGGTCCTGCTTTGAGCAGGGGGTTAGACTAGGTGACCTCCTGAGGTCCCTTCCAACCATAATTTTCTATGATTCTGTAATCCAAAACACTCCTCTCCAGCAGCTACAGCGCTGAGGAGGCACCTAAACTTGGGCTTTCACACATATTTCCATGCTATCCATATAGCTCCCCTACATCCTTCCAAAGGTCCCCTGTGATTCATATCAGCACCCATGCCCCCTGAAGAGGTAGTCTCCTACGTGTTCTGAGTATAGATAACATGCATTAGCACCATTTAATTCAGCACCAAGAACAGCAGCCACAGTCACTCATTCACAAATGCCATTGGTGTGGCAATAATGGACCCAGCTTCAACAGGTAAAGGGTACCTACCACCCTAAATATTCCTTTATCTGATTATTAGGACTTTTTTCTGGGGAGCAGGACACATGGTTTGAATCCCATGAGGCTGAAAAGGCCTCAAACCCAGGTTTCCCCCTCTCTCTGTGGGAGTCCTCTGACCACTAGACAATTATACAAAAGGTGGAGCGTGGGACCACTGTCACCAACTAGGCACATTCCCTTCCCATGGGGATTCAGAGTTCTGGATCCTAAGATGACAGAGGCCTCTAACATGGAGCTCTTAAATAATTTCTTTGTTTCTGTTGTCCTGGACATGGATACAAATGCACCTCCCATTCAGTCTTTAGTCTGGAGTGAGAGTAATACAAATCCACCAAAGGTTAGCACTGACCTAGTGAAGGGGCACTTGGAAGGGTTGGATGTATTTGAGTCAGCAGGCCCCGAAGATCTTCACCCAAGGGTACTAAAGGAATTGGCCGATAACATAGCAGAACCACTGGCGCAGGTTTTTGAGTGCTTGTGGCACTTGGGACAGGTCCCAGAGGACTGGAAAAGGACCAATGTGGTCCCTATCTTCAAAAAGGGGAGGAAGGAGGACCTGGGTAATTATCGGCCAGTTCGCCTCACCTCTCTTCTCAGCAAGACCTTAGAAAAAATCATAAAGGATCACATTTGCAGGGTGCCAGTGGATAACACAATGGTAAGGGGCAACCAGAATGGGTTTCTAGCAGGCAGATCCTACCTAACTACCCTGGTCTCTTTTTATGACCAGGTCACAAAGTGCTTAGATGCAGGGGAGAAAGTAGATATTATTCACCTGGATTTTAAAAAGGCTTTTGACACAGTGTTGCACCCAATTCTTATGAGCAAACTGAGTAGCTGTGATGTGGATTTTTTCACAGTAAGGTGGGTGCAAAACTGGCTTATGGGACACACCCAGAGAGTGGTGGTGGATGGGGCAGTTTCTCCCTGGAGGGATGTGGGCAGTGGTGTCCCCCAAGGCTCTGTTCTTGGACCAGAACTGTTTAATATCTTCATCAGTGATTTGGATGAAGGTGTTGAAAGCACCTTGTCCAAATTCACAGATGATACTGAACTATGGGGCATAGTAAAACACACTGGAGGGCAGGGAGCAAATTCAGACAGATTTGGACAGACTGGGGAAGCGGGCAGATCAGAATAGGATACAATTCAACAAGGATGAATGCAAGGTGCTGCACCTGGGGGAAAGAATCTCCAACACACCTATAGGCTAGGGGGAACCATTCCGAGCAACACAACAGTGGAAAGAGATCTCAGAGTCCTGGTTGACGCAAAAATGAACACGAGTTGCCAGAGTGATGATGTAATAAGCAGGGCAAACCGCAGTCTTTCTTGTATCAGCAGGAGCATCATGAGCAGGTCTAGGGAAGTGATAATTCCCCTCTACGTGGCATTGGTGACACCACAGATGGAGTACTGCAACCAGTTTTGGGCACTGCACTTCAAGAGGGATGTGGATAACCTCAAGAGGGTTCAGAGGAAGGCTACTTGTATGGTTGAGACCCTGCAGGTAAGACCCTATGAAGACAGACTGAGGGACCTGAATCTCTTCAGCCTCCACAAGAGAAGGCTGAGAGGCGATCTTGTGGCCGCCTACAAACTCATCGGGGGTGGGGGGGGCCAGCAGAGAAAGGGGACACTCTGTTTAGTATGGTGCCCCTCAGGATTACCAGAAATAATGAAGGAGAACAAACTGAACTGAAGGAGAACAGATTTAGATTGGACATAAGGAAGAAATACTTTATGGTAAGGGTTACCAGAATATGGAATGGGCTTCCAAGGGAGGTGGTGCTTTTCCCTACCTTGGAGATATTCAAGAGGAGATTAGACAAGCATCTGGCTGGGGTTACCTAACACCAGTGCTCTTTCTTGCCTGGAGCAGGAGGTCGGACCCCATGATCTACCAGGTCCCTTCCAACTCCAGAAACCTATGAAATCTATGGCTTTCTGCCCTGCATCTGGGTTTTCAATCTCCTTCTCATGGCCTGTTTAGGTAGTATGGGTGCTTTCCCCCATTTGTTTGAACTGCCCTGCTAGAGCCAGATACATGCTTTAGGAAAATGCAACAGTTCATCTGAAAGTGCCTTTTGCCTTGGGTGACTGACATTTTGCTATAAAGGACTCTGAATTTGGTGAAACTTTTGGAAAGCTGCTAGCACAGTTACAAATTCTCTCATCTCCCTCATCATCCTTTGTTGATATAGGGATGTCCACAAAAATAAGATGGAAGGTCAATCAAGTCCTTTCAGACTGAACACTGATAGCAGCTTTGTGACGCATTATATGTTACTGACCTCCTGAATTCTTTCCATGCAAGAAGGTAAGTGTGACCCTCTTCCCTTTTTATAGAACTTGATCTCCCAGTAATTGGCTTCTTCTTTTCTGCTAATTGTGTCTCTACAACCCAGGAGAATCTCTCCCAGCCCTTCCCCTTTTCTGTTTTTCACCATGCTGTGCCTAGCTCCTGTGATCAGAGACCTGATGAAGAATGTCTTGCATTTGAAAGCTTGTCTGACTTTACCCCAACTATATAGTTGGTCCCATAAAAGATAGTAACCTAAGAAATCTTTGTCTCTTGCATATTTTCTGGACCACCATGACTAGAACATGTCTCTTACACTAAAATGATGTTAGCACAAGAACTCAGTGCAAGAATTCTGAAGGGAGTGGGATACATATTTCAAAGATATCTTGAATGAATATGTCAGTATCAGTGTGGACATAAAATGTACCTGAGTAACCCAGCAGATAATAGACTTACAGCTAAAGCTGATGTCATAATCAGACAAGATCTGGATATCATCCTTAGTCCACACACATTATAGGACACCAATATGGAAGACACATTTAAGTATGAAGATGGAACAGTATCAGAGACATCATCTTGCTAAGTATCCTTTAACAGAAAAGGGAAACTCACCCTCTTTGATTGATATTCAGTTACAGCAAACAAAATGAGCAACAGTCAAGAAAGAGGTTTCAATATATTTCTGACAAGCAGCTGAACTGGTGCCAGGATATCCATATTTTGCTCTCCTTCTTGGTCTGAGCATAAAAATAGGAATCACAAACTTTCTGATTCTAATTCCACATCTTCCTCCTATGACCATGAGTAAAGAGATACAGCCTTACCATGCCTTATCTTCTCTAACTGTAAAAGTGTAACACCCACAACTCCCAGGGATTTAAAAATGGTTGCAGAGATTTTAGAACCTTGGAAGGACAGGTTTTATAGTAATATTTTTTTCATTATTAACTACTTCACATGATCGTTAAACAAGTTCTGTGTTTGTAAAAGCATCTTAGCTATAAAGCAATACTAAGTACCAGGAACCTTCTGAGACTCATCCATCATTACTTATTAAGCCATATGAAAGCAATACACTAGTCTGCAACCTTTCAGGAATGAAAATTGTATCACTTGTTCTTTTCTAGAAGTTTTATCACTGGAATGGAGATGAAACATGGATTAACGTCTTTAAGAGCCTCTGGTGGGTATATTCAAGCCTGATACTTGGTTTACTTTTATAATAAATCAGAAAATAGTGCCGTAACTGGTATAATAGCTGAGTTGCTTATGTATCCTGTTTAGCTGATGAGATCAGACATGCATAAAACTACCTGAGGAGTATTCTTCAGGGAAAAAATGTGCACATAGAAAACATGTTTAGACATACACTACCAATTTATTCATTCATATCTGTACAGAAAAATAGACATATGGAGAACTGTATGTTTCCAAAAATCACAATTATTTGAGCTACTGGATTTTTTTTTACTCACTTGACTGGGAAAGAGAGTCTGAATAAAATTGAGAAAAAGGAAGACCAGAAGCCAAGCCCTTTCATTCTGAACTGGCAGACATGCAAGGGATGGACTACCCAGTGTCTGCATTGATCAAGTCACTTCCTGGAAAGGAGACACTGTTTAGGTGAGGTATATATTAACACTGCATGTGCTAGCAAAGCATAAAAACTAGTAGCATAATGCTCAAAGAGAATGAATTAGTTACCAAAGTCACACTATTGAAGCCTCTATGAATAAGGAGAGCTGTTGCTAATTGACTGTGTTGGATAATGGTGCCGTAGTCCCCCAACAATACCTCACCTGAGTAAGGACATAAAGATTTGGTCCAAGTTATTAAAGGAATATTCACTATTCTGTCTTTGGTATGTATATAGCTCCCATTTCCATGGGACTGGAGCATATCATCCGCTTTCATCTATGTATCTACATGAACAACTTGTGAAGTAAGACAGTGCTGTTAATATCATTTCTCCTTTGGGGGGACAGATGTGGAACCACTAAATCACTTTCACAAAGAAACCAGTGGTAGACCAGAGAACTGAACATAGATAGCACTGGTTGCAAGCTAATCCTCTAGCCATGGGACCAGATTTCCTCCTTATCCATTATAGAAACTAAGATGGCTTTCCTTGCTTTTATACCTTCCATCATCAAGTTAAGATTTCCATGACAAAAAATCACATTAAACTTGATGTCCTAAATTTTGTTATTTATTGCAAATACCAAGGATGTGTTAGATGTTATACGATGTATAATAAGCAAGCATAATTCTAACACCAAAAGGAAAAAAAAATGAAGAGTTGAAAGAGGAG